GTTTGTCATACGCCTCCCAGGTGCACACGGGAAGATGCGTATGTAATAGAAAGGAAGATGTTGTTTGGAACCGGTCACACTTTCAAATATGTCTTTCTAGGTTGGGCACCGAGGAACAATAAGAGATTATCCAGGTTTTAGCCCATCGGTGGATGCCGAAGCTATTCGTAAGGCGATCAGAGGAATTGGTGAGTGAGGCTTCACGATTCCTTTCTTAATATGGAAGCAAATCAGGACAGTTACAGTCTGAAAATTCCTAGGTTTGGTTTGCCCAAGTTGGCTTACTCAGTTAGAGAAATTGTCGGGGATTTTTTTAAATTGTGGAAATACATAGGGAACCTACTTTTATTAAATCTTAACATTTGCCACATTTACTTAATGTTAAAAACTACCACCACCACCAATAATCATCATAATAAATCATTACAAATACAGTCCCTGTCAATTCTCCCTGGATTTCATTCCTTCCTTATTCTCTGGAGATAAACACACTCTAAATTAGAGTTTATACCCATGAAACTTTTAGTACCGTAACTATATAGGTATGTATTTCTCGTTTTTCGTGGTTTCGAACAGCATAAAATGGAATCCTACCCTATTCATTCTTCTTTAATTTTTTTTTTATCCGTTAACATTATGTTTTTGAGATTTACTCATATATGTTTAGCTCTAGGCCATTAATTTTAACCGCATCACTAGATCGTAAGATGGGCATATGGATGGAACATTTAAATCGCCTACAATTCTTTTCTATTACGGTATAAAAATACTTCAGTGAATAGTCTTCCTTATGTCTCATTGTGTGCATATTTGCTAGCGTTTCTCTAGAATATGACAAGAATTGGAATTTTCTGGGTTGAAAAGGATGCTTTTCTTCAAATGAACTGGCAATGTTGCTAACTGCTCCCTAAGTGAACGTAGAAATTAGCGTTCTTTCCAGCAGTGTAGGAGACTTCCTCTTGCTCTGTGTTCTCACCAATACTTGCTACACTGATACTATCCAGTTTCTCCAGTCGAGTGAGTCTAAAACTGTCTCATTCTGTGTGTGTTTGTTTGCTCCATCGTCTCCACCCCCCATTACTGATGCAGTCAAGCATCCTTTCTTGTTGACTTCCTTCCACTTTCGGGTATCAATTCTTTGTGTAGTCGGTCTGCTTTTCAGTTGAGTTGACTTCTTGATTTTTTATAATTTCTAGATATAAATCTTTTTTTTAATACATTGTAAGCCATGGAAATATCTTCTCTAAGTCTATTATTTTCTTTTAACATTAATTGTAGTAATTTTTATTGCATAGAAGTTTTA